AAAAAAAAAAAAAAAAGGTTTCAGCACACATGGTCCACAGGAGAAATCAGCTCAGCATGACCCACGCCCAGACACAGCCTAGTAAAAAATTACCAAACTCCGTGGTGAGAGCAAATACTCCTTGAGCATCCAGGCCGAAAACAGATCTTTTGTAAGGAAAATAAATCAGGCTGTCCTCACTTTGACAGCAACACTTGTGCCAGGGAAAAAAGAGAAAGTAACAAACTTAAGACAAAGACAACACAAACGGAAGATTTTATGCTCAGTTAAATTTCAAGTACAAAGACCAAAGTGTTCTCCACATGGAAAAAGGGAGTCAGAACCCACGGCAGAACAAGCCTTAGATATCCAAAATGCATGAAGAAACATGGCGAGCGGGAAGTGGGTATTTATTTATGTATTTACATATATTTATTTGTAGAACCGAGTCACCAAGGGCAATCAGGACAGCACAGAGTATATAATGGGCACGTGTCCTGACAAAGTAGGTAGGGCACAACTGTAAAAAAAAAAAAAAAATGGGAGAACATACGCAAAAAAGAAAGCAACTTTCCAGAAACCATTACGCAAGTGCTACTTGGTTTTGTTAACTAAGGTTACTGTATACAGCTGTGGCATAATGTAAATGAGTAATTACGTGATATTTTAATGGTCATCCCCTTGTATCCTTAAAAATCAAGATTCAAATTGAAAGAAAGGGGATGCAGATGAAAGAAGAGGTAAGGTTTAAAATGCTTTACTGGGAAATATTTGTAATTCAGAAGTTATTTTATCTTCTGCAAACACACACACACACACACACACACACACACACACCCTTTTGTGTTTGCTAGCCTTATTCGCAAAAAAAGCTTCGAAAAAAATAACCAAACCAGTAGTAGTGATTATCTCTAGTGCATAAATTGTATTCTTGAAATACTGTTCCATCTAAAAGAAACCAGGTCCCTTGAGGAAATGGCTGGTTCCGGGTCTGAAGCTACAAGTGTACAAGGCGCACTTGGGACACCTTGTCATTTGTAGGTGTCAAGGAATCTCTCAAAGATGACTGGGGTTATGTCAGATATGTCTAAGGAGCCAACTGAGATGCTCCCACTGACTAAAGATGGGCCAGTTTGAGTCAATAAAGATAATAACCGCTATGGATTAAAACAAATAAAATGGGTAAGTCCAAGAGTTTATAATAGTAAGAAAACCTAAGTGGTCACCTCTAGAGAATAATAGGAAACCACATAATTTTGAAAGGTGGTTCCAAAAATTAAAAAAAAAAAAAAAAAGAAAGAAAGGAATGAATGAATGAAAAGAATCAAGTATTTATCTTTTCTTACTTACATGAATTGTACCACAGGGTAACCAAATATTAAATGAAGAGAAATTTCTCCTTATGGAAAATTTTCAGCTAATAAATGAATAAGAATGGTTTTAGGTTAGCACCCTTTCCACCTTCTAATGAATTAATGGATCCAGACACTGAGCCCTGATAGCTACTAACATCAAAATATGAGAGATGTCCAGACATATTATACTCCTCCTGATAAAAGAACATGCTCATACCCATGAAGTAATCTTGCCAAAAAAGAAAAAGAAAAAATAGACCCTGAATCTGATCAAGCCCACCAATTCACAGGATATGAAAAGAACAGAAGAACATGATAAGCTATAGCACAGGATTGCAATCAGCAAAATCCCAAGGGTGGGAAACCCTAAGGTCCATATAATCCCATTTCTGCAACTGGTAAGGGTAGAAAAA